GGGGGGGGGGGGGGGGGGGGCGTGATGTTCAATCTCCGTTGGAAGCTTAAATTCAATGGTGAAGGGGGTGCTTTAAGAAGCATTGAAATAAAATTATTGAATATTTTAATTCCTTAGGTAGAGGGTATGCTACACCAAAGAATTCTTTGTAAAACTTGAGAGCCCTAACAGAAACATCCAAAGCAAACTCAACCTACAAATAAATATGACTTAATAAAACAATTTAAAGATTAAACCAATTTTTGTATCTTTAGACCATCTTTCACAAATATATATTGTATATATGCCAAACAGTACCTCCCCCCCCTAGAACCAGACCATAGCCGCCACTTTTCCAGGTAAGTGCTCAGCCCCCCCCCACCACCCCCCTCCATTTACACCCATGATTTAGAAAATACGTAACATTTTCTAGATTAGTATAACGGCAGGAAGGAGGGGGCAGGCGGGGGGAGGGTTATAGTATTAAATTCGAGATAAGTTGACCGCTACCAGTCAGCGGACCTAGAGTATAGGCAACTTGACCGACCGCGTGCACCCTTACACAGATAAAACCCTGCGTGACCCCCTAAAAATTTAGTATGTTGAACACAACCAAGTTATAAACATCTAACAATGTCAGATAAAATCTTCCAAGAAGAATTTGACTGCATCAAAGATGTGAGAGAGGGAGATAATGAGGGTGAACATTTTAAATACTTGTATGAAGGAGAACAAGATAAGAAAGAAGAATCTGAGCTGGAATGTCCTGTTTGCTACAATTTATGTATGCCACCAAGGTGAAAGATTTTTTAGCACTAGAAGATCTAAAGATTAAATAACTAAAATGAAACTAGTATTAAACGCAGATCAAATATTAAACTATTCGAATGAAAAATAAATGATCTTTTCGGAGGGAAATTTTAGTCATTTTTGTCGTGGAGGGTTTGGGAGGAATGGAGAGGGGCTTAAGATATTTGCAATTAAAAATGTGCAACTTTTCCCTATTTGCCAAAAAAAACTCATCAGAAGCATTTTCAAATTTCAAAAAAATGGTGTGTGGTAGTTAAAAACAATTTAAGATGCCATATACACAAATAATTTCTTTAAAAAAATTCGAAAAGTTTTTGCAGTTCAGTCTATATAGCTTAGCACTATCCAATCAAGCTTTGTCTCAATTTTGAAAAATGCGTCCAGAATCTTTAAAAACTATCTATATATAAATTTGGCTTGTCTGTTGTTAGGTCTGTTTGTATCCAATAAACGTCAAAACGGCTGAACCGATCGGGCCCAAATTTTTTGTGGGACATAACGTGACCACTGGGAAGGTTTATGAATGATAACATTTTTTTAAAAATGTGTTTTAAAGGTTTTGTAATTTTGTAAAAAAAATTAAATTCATAAAAATCCGCAAAAAAATTTTCTTCTTTGTATTTAAATGTGAACAAAAAGAACATGTTCACAATTTAAATAGAAGTTGGGCGCGAAGCGCCCTAAAAACCTAGAGCCCAAATTTTTTGTGGGACATAACGTGACCACAGGGAAGGTTTATGAATGATAAAATTTTTTTTAAAATGTGTTTTAAAGATTTTGTAATTTTGTAAAAAAAATTAAATTCATGAAAATCCGCGAATTTTTTTTTTTAAAAATCCGCAAAAAAATTTTTCTTTGTATTTAAATGTGAACAAAAAGAACATGTTCACAATTTAAATAGAAGTTGGGCGCGAAGCGCCTTGAATTTCTAGTTATACTAAACTTTGCAATTTTGGCTCACATATCGTACCATGTAATAATTTCTTTTTAACGGTATTTATTTTCAAGAATACCAAGATGCGAAAACGGACATCTAATCTGCTACACGTGTAAATGCAAACTTCCCACACCCCTGTGCCCAGTGTGCAGAGGACGTTTTTTATTAAGACGTCCTCTGATCGCCGAGGCGGTTGCAAAGCTTATCCCGTTCCCGTGTAGGAATGCGGGCAAGGGATGTCTAGCACAGTTACCATGGAGAACTAGACAGATACACGAGGTTGAGTGCGAGTACCAACGGTAACACATTTAACTATAAATAATATATATAACAAGTATCTTGAGGACCCAACTTTGCCTGAAAGTCTAAACATTTACATAAAAAATTTAAAAAAAAACTCAATTTGTGATTAATGATCGGATATACAAACAAACAGATATTACTACTATAAAAACTAAGAAAATTACTACTTTATATGTATACTAGCTTGCATACTAAAACTTCGCCTTATCAAAATTTCTGATCGGACAATCAATGTTAATATTTTATAATTATTTCATATTTAGATAAATAAATTATACGATTTCAATGTTAGAATAATTGATTTTTTAATTAGGTTTTACTGTCCGTTGCTGACATGCCCCACTGAAACCGAATCCGTTGAACTGCTTCAGGATCATGTAGAACAGGTTCACCGGGCAGGCCCAAGCCAAGGAATGCTTTCTTTCTATAAAGAATTCAACTCTGCAACAATGAGTACATACATCTCTCCTGATATGAACATGATGGTTATCCCGGGTTTAAGGTAACTTCAGACTCAAACTTGTGACAGAGGTGTATAAAAATATTTACCTCTGAATTAATAAAATAAATTATGAAAATCAACATGTTTAGATTTTTCTGGTGGCAACCTCAGATCTTTCTGAAAGAACTTCCCTGTTTCTTCATGGTCTTAAGAGAAGTAGATTCGCAGGTCAAATATAACAGCTTAATAATGGCTTTTTTGGCGACCTTGTATAAAAATAATCTTTATACTAGCAAAAAGGCTAACTGTTGTTAAAAGGAAATGGTTCGAATTTAGCCTGAAAGTAAACAAATAATAAATCTTATTTCAGAACATGAGCACATACTTCTTTTGGCTCTGGATGGCTGCCGCCCAGTCAGAAACGGAAAATTTTCAGTAAGCAATATAAAATTTAATAATTAGTGTTATCAAAATAACGAATGAGATATTCATGATTTATCACCTTAAAATTGATTATTTTTATTGGTGGATTCTTTATTTAAATGTCTTGTGGGTTTAAGTAGCCAAGCAAAATAATGAAATTCAGTATTTTTATCGTTTTAAGTTAGAAAAATAAGAAATTGTATGAGGGCTACTTATATAGCAAGGGTTCATCTAGAGATTTTGTGGTAGGTGTAAGACAAATTGTTGGCAGATTTTTTTGTAATTAAGTGCTATTTGTGGCAGATTTGGTGAACTCAGATACTATTTGTGGCTAATTTTATGGTATTAGATACTTTTTGTGGCAAATTTTGTTTGTCTAAACCTTGTTATGCAGTATTTTTGGGTGTAATGGGCGTACGATGTACCAAGATGAATTTTAAATGAACCCCAGGGCCTTAACTTATAGTTACATATACAGTCGTATCAAAGTTGAAATATTATTTTCGCATCAAAAATTGTTGAACTCTAATTTTCAAGGTACAGGATCTGTATTGAGGACCCTAACCCTACAACTACCCCCAGAGAAGGAGGACCCCTCTTGTCTAAATCTGGTCTCCTTGTCAACTTTGTCTCTGCTCCGGTCAGCCTCCAGACCTCGATTGATGAAATCCAGGATCTCAACCTCTGCCTTAAACTCACGGAGGATCAATTTCATCATATTTTAACAGATGGAGGACCAAACTGTGATCAAGGCTGTCATAAGGTAGCTTAAAATATTTCTTGCTGCACCATATTTAATTGATTATAAATTTACATTCGTAGTCAGCCTTAGAATTAAAATTCATCATCGGCTTGTAGACGGGTGAATACTATACATATACATCCTAGCTCTATTTTGAATTAAGAAACTAGTAAGTTTAGGATCAAAAGACTCTGGCAGAGAAATATTTCTTGCTGCACCATATTTAAAGAAAAAGTCAATATGAAATAAATGTACTTTAATAGTTGACGTTCATCATACATCAGCATGTAGACCAATTTTATGGAAGTTTACTTCAAATGCAAAATTCAAAATAACCAAACAGATGTTTTTTTATGTGTTCATAATTTTGTTAATTTCTTGCATTTTCTAAAATATATATTTTGCAGGATTGCCAGCATATGAAATATACTGTTCTACTTCGGAAACAGCGTAGACCAAGATGCGGCTCAGGAACCCCGGTCCCAAAACAAAACATTTTGAAATTGTAAAAATGAAGGTCAAACCCCCTTGTCTAAAAATAACCATCTTGGAACTACAAAATGCGGCTCAGGAACCCCGGTCCCAAAGTAAAACTTTTGAAAAACAATGGTTAAAAATGCTGCTCAGGAATCCCGTCCCAAAATAAAATAGTTTGGAACTACAAAACTTCGGCTACGAAACCCAAACCCCCAAAAGAAAACAAGCTGTAAAAATGATATTCAGACAATTTATTTGTTGCTTTTAAACACTTGAGCATATGCTGTTTTTGCGTATTTTTTTTTATCTTGTATAGCAAATAAATTATACCATTAAAACATCTATTTTTTCGATAAATCTTCGAGACGTTTACAGAGCAGTTTTAAGACGTGAAAAGTGTTAGAAAACAATATGTTTTTAATTATATAATAATTTTCTGGTCGATTAATTCCTCCGTCAATAACACAAAAATCTGGAAGTATGTTTTGTTTTTAACCATAACTCTTCTTATTGAAAAGCTATGAAGAAAAAAGAAGTTTGAATATAAAATACGTAACAGGAATTTACTTTTCACACTTTGTGTAAAATCAAAACTAGAGGATCTAAAAGGTCACAAGGTCGAACCTGTAATGTCGCATAAGTTTGACATTCTCCTTCTGTCAAGTTCAGTGTGATTGTAGTGGATGTTTCAACGATGGTTTCAATAAAATGTTCTGTGTAGGATGCTATTTAGAAGTAAGTACCCGCTGACATATATGGCCGATTTCTTAGACGTTCTACCATAGGTAGAACCATAGTCACACTACGGTTACGCTTTACCAGAGCAGTGTAGATACTAGATAGATAGATAGATTCGACTTATAGTTGTACCTATGGTAACATGAATAAGAAATTGGCCAATAGAAGAATAGAAAATAACAGAATTTGAATATTTAAATTGTACGCCCTATGTAAAGAGTGAACATACAACGAGGTCCATAGAACTGTGGAATAGGAACAAAAATGTCAAACTTAAGTTTCCGATGAACATTTAAACAATAAATTTTGAAGTGTACACTGTACACTGACCCATTTCACTTATTTAACTTTTTTAGATATTACGTTAAAAACAATATCTAATTCACATTCAACAGTTTTATAGTTCTCTTAGATAAATCATATCAAACTGTAAACTTTGGTCCATTTCAAGTACCGGACCGACGTTTAAACAGCTAAATCAAGCTATACAGTACAAACGCAGACTAGAAAAGACAAAACGGGACATTTGATTGAGTCTTCTTTTGAGATTATTTTTAATTTTTTTTTAAATCCAACCTGCTTGGTTTCTTGTTGTTTAGCGTAACAACTAACTCGAACCCCATCCTCGGTAATCCTAAACAAACATTTTTATTCAATTCAATCCCCATTCCATTCAGTTTTATTAGCTTGGGATATCACATGGACTGCTTGATCTAACCGGGGTCCGGGGTAGGCCATCACGATTCCTTTTCAATCAAGGCTTTTCAGTCTGACATAGTTAAGATCTAACGTCGGGTACACGACCAAACAAACATAATGGTTAAAATTTGAAACCTTACAAAAAAGCTTAAAACTTAATTTAGTAGAAACTTAATAAATTGTTATCAGAACATAAAATCATGTGGGGGATTTGGGGATTTCGTTGCTATGACATTAACATTGTTTTAACCAAAGACTACACAGAATGGGCTACGTGGGCGCAAGTTGACCCGGCACGACATGTTGCGTTTTTACGATAAGTTTTTAGAGTGCCATCTCACGGCCACTTGTTGAACATAATGCCCATTCAGGGGTTAAGTTTTACAACTTTTAAAGAAATACTCCAATTTTAAACATGAAATAGAACATTTATGAATTCAGTCTTTTTTTTTTGAAGATTTTGTGTTTCGTATCGAAAGGATCCTTAATATCCCAGAATACAGATGTTTGCTAATTGGTCGTGTACAGTACTTGTACACAACAGAACATGCTGTGGAAAATATCGCATGTTTTAGCTGATAATCGATCTCTGTAACTCTCTTATATCTGGTTTTAACAGACCTTCCACATCCAGCACAGATATTATTGTTAACCACCAATAAGCTGATAATTATAGAACATATTATACCTGCTGATGCTGTCATAATATCCTAGAATAACACAGACCAGGTAGGTGGGCATGGCCGGACTCCGGGCAAACGTGAAAACTTCATCACACACTGATATACAACACATGTTGGAGATAACCTTGTAATAAAAATTGTTATTATTGATAAAAATAAGCTTGGAACAAAAACAAAATTTTTCATGTTTTTCGTACTATCCCCCCCTAAACATATATTTTTAGCTTCCTTTTTGAAAACTTTCTTTGGAATTAAAACTAAAAAAATTGGATACTTTTCCAGGTATCGGATCTGAAACTAGAGAACATAGATCGACGTCAAATAAGTGCACCCCCCCCCCCACGCCATTCTAGGATGAGGTAAAAAAAAACAAGTTAACTGTGACTTGTAGATTAATTATAAATAAATCCTATTTACCTCCATCTGTTTGTTTGGTCTCTTGACCTTGATATCAAAGGTTGACCGGAACTCTGGCTGATCAAAGCAGGGAAAACACTTCCTTGCCCCCGTAGCTTCAAAGTGACAAGCTGCGCCCCATTTCTTCTGAAGTCAAAACAATTGTATTGTAAATCTCAATGTAATGATCTCCATCTTATGCAGATCTACGAATTAATTTAACCATATTCGATATCCCGCTATTGTCATGTCATGTCAAGCATTGATCTTTACATTTAAAAGTGCCCACATTCTATAGCGAGATTAAGTGTTCAAAAGTTCCCATCTCCGAATTAAAATAAATCTTTTAAGTCTGTTTTAACATGAAAAATCTTAACCCCCGTACTCCTCCAGTCCGTAGATACTATACACTACAGTTTACACTATAAAGACACTATTTTAGGTTGGAATAGAAAAATAGTCGCTTAGGAATGGGGGGGGGGGGGGGGTCCAGACGGTATTTCTCCCATTTTTATTACAGTTTCAGGTGTTTTTCTTCTTAAAACAACATAACAACAAGGGTGTATATTTTTAAGAACTAAAAGGTGGAGGAAAAATGATTTTTCGAAGAACTGGTTTATCATCTTTTTCATACTTTTTACCCAAACCTTTCTTTATTTCCCCCTAAGAATCATTTATTTTCCCCAATTTAAAAACCATAAAAAAATTAACTTCCGGGGGAAAAAAATTATTTTCAAAAGAGGGGGGAAAATTTATTTTTCAGGGAAAATATACACCCGACTGCATGACTTATTCATGTTTAATGAAATATTATTTCACTTTAAATTGTACCTCTCCTTGTACAATATGCTTTGTTCTGTAAAACCCTCTGAGAGAATCATCTAATACTCCAGAGAACTCTATACTTAGTCGGTACTTACCACCAACTAGCACTGATCTAGAAAACACGAAATTAATATTAGTTTTTAATCTAATTTTTTTCAACTTTAAATTATCTAAAACCAAACCTGGTGGTTATGACGATAACTTCGTTTTCAGCCAATATTAAAACTTCATTAATGTCAATATTGTTCTCGAATTTACTTAGGACCATCTCTTCTACTGTTTCAGTACTTTTATCAGAATTTGAGCCAGGATTTCCAGATTGATTTTCAGGCTCATCTATATCTGTGGCAGAGTCGTCGTTATCACTATCTGTATCAGCGCCATCAACTTGCATAACATCATCACTATCATCATCATCTCTATCAACTTCGTCATCCTCATCGTTAACATTAACTACCAGATCATCTTCATCACTGGAAACAATCACGTTTTCATCTTCATCCTCATCACCGGAAGAAATAATAGCATCATTCTCAAACTCGAAGGTTTCCGGAGTAATCTCTGGAAACTTCTTTTCTTCCTCCTCTTCCTCCTCAGATTCAGGATCCATCCATTCACTTCTCAATAAAACCATTCCTGAAATTGTCATTAAAATAAATTTTTTATTCTTTTTTATGCAACTTCAAATAAATTAGATCTGTTTTTTTTGATCCATTTGTTAATTTGGCATACCTTTATTTTCCACAAAAACATTTTTATTCTTTGTTGGATATTGAGAACTGCTGGACGCTCCATCGACACTTTTCTTATCTTTATCATTTTCCTCAACTTGATCATCCTCATCATCTTTTTCATCTTTATTATCAGTATGATCTTTGGCATCTTCATCTTGATCTTTAGCGTTTAAAGATGCATGGCTAAAATGAAGTTGCGGTGTTGATTCGACATCATTTTCAGGTTTGGGATCATCTTCAGGTTTGAGATCATCCGCAGATTGCGGATCATCTTCAGATTTGGGCTCATCTTCAGGTTTGGGCTTATCTTCAGGTTTGGGATCATCTACAGGTTTTAAATCATCTTGAGGTTCCAGTTGTTGGTCAGATGTTTTAAATCTACCAGGACAAGGTCGACTCTTCTTTACAGAAGGGTCAGCATAAACATCTCTCTTCCTATTTATTGAAAACATCATGTTTTTTTTGTAATCAAAATATTTAAAAATATTAATCTAAGTTTTAAAAATAATGTATTTTTTATCAATTAAAGATTTTTTTTATAAATAAAAAAATATTTTTCGAAATAATGTTTACATGTTTAAAAAATAAATATTTTAACTTAGAAGTATACCGTTTTATTGTATTAGTCGTCAGAGCAAGAACTTTAATGTATGTGAATTTGTTAGCATTGAGAACTATCTTATCACAGCCTCCATTTATATTCAGGTCTATATCTACTCTTCCTAAAATAAAAGACAAATTTTATTTCTTAGGCACTTTTTTAATGGATTTTTTTTTCCAATTCGAAATTCACCAAAGTTTGTGACCAAACCCACATTTAAGCGATCTTACAGCTCAAAAGCATTAGTAATAATTGAGGAATTGGCCATTACCATAAGCTGATATTGAACTTATAAAAAATTACATTTTCGGACTTAATTTTCAAATCTTTGTCTGCATTGTGTTTAACTGGATGAGATTCCAGACAGATCTGAAAAAACTTCAAGAAAGATAACAAATTTTTGTGTTAACTTCTTTTTTGAACATTTTTTCTTCATTTTAAATTTTTCATTTACCTTTAAAAGTGTGTGTGATAAACTCGGGTTCCAGTAGAAGGGTGTAGTGCTGAGGCACAACATCTAATCTTAGCCTACTGTAATCATACATTGTCTAATCTGTAACAACATTATATTGAGGTCAAATCTTTAAACTAACTTTTTAATACTTAGTACTAGAAGATTTCCCTGCACTAGTGGGCAAAGGAAATAATGATTATATAAGGGAAAACAATTAACATGAAAGCCTGAAAGGTTAATTTACAACTTGCTTTTATTAGATTTTGTAATGCTCTCTGGGGGAAAAATATTAAAATCGGTCATCAAAAGGCAAGTTTTTTTCCATCTTTTTTTACACTTTTATCCAAAAAGGAACTTTCAGAGTGTGCGGTCTGAGCTCATCTAATACTCTAAGTGGGAATAAGACATGAAATCCCCAGACCACCATCAGGATCCCCAGACCACCATCAGGATCCCCAGACCACCATCAGGGCGGCGCAGCAGATCATCATAATATGATAGTTCACCAAGCATACAACATGGAATCTAACCAGGGTAACACACAGAGTAAGTAAAATAAGGAGAACCCAGAATCCAGCAATGTAGGCTAGAGTTGACAAGGAGGCTAGCTGGTTAGATATCAGATACGACGCTGACACTGGCTGCTGCTAGAGTATAAGAAGTAGAACCCAGAAACCAGCAATGTAGGCTAGAGTTGACAAGGCTAACTGGTTAGATATCAGATAAGACGCTGGCACTGGCTGCTGCTAGAGTATAAGAAGAAGAACCCAGAATCCAGAAATGTAGGCTAGAGATGATAAGGCTAGCTGGTTAGATATCAGATACGAAGCTGGCACTTGCTGCTGCTAGAGTATAAGAAGTAGAACCCAGAATCCAGCAATGTAGGCTAGAGATGACAAGGCTAACTGGTTAGATATCAGATACGACGCTGGCACTGGCTGCTGCTAGAGTATTAGAAGAAGAATCCAGAATCCAGCAATGTAAGCTAGAGATGACAAGGCTAGCTGGTTAGATATAAGATACGACGCTGGAACTCGCTTCTGCTGTCCAACAATTTTCAGCTCTGCAATGGACAATGGATTAGAATAAAATATATGAAAATATGGAATTTTATTTTACCTTTAACAGAAAAAAGAATATGTAAAACGTCAGGGAGCATGAATCCCAAATCTCTGAGCACCTGAAAGCAATAGATAGAAATAGATTAACAATTTAACAAAACTCAGTTTTTTTCATTTTTTTATATTTCATGCAATAATTATTATTATTATTATTATTAACAATCAAACAAAGTACTATACGAGTACAATTTCAAACCTGATGAAGTTCTCCTTCTTGAAGCAAAACATTACTCACAAACTGGTCCCAACTAAAAAAAATAATAATATTTTTATTAATAGGACTGTCGACTAAACTGCAAGTTACCCTCCATATACATATATATTAAACTTCTTTCAGTTTAAATATAGACTTTAGACGTTTAAATATATATTTTCCAAGACAAAATGTTTCATGGGTCTGTGGCGGAAGACGATCCAAGTCTAAGCCGGATAGAGAGACGCGGCAAGAAGAACACAGATCTGCTCACGTCACCATGAATAGACATATTATGATATTTTTGATTTCTTAAATAGTAAAAGTAAAAGTAAAATAAGTTAGTCAATAAAGTATTTATTTAAACCTACGTTGTTTAAATCTGAGCGTATCTAAAGGTCTATATATATATATTATAAGTGATGTTATATATATACGAACTTTGCTTATTTGTATCCATTAAACGTAAAAAGTGCTGATCCAGGGAATGTGTGTTCAGAATTGAAAAATTTCAATCTATCAAAATCCACGAAAACATAACAATAAATCGGCTAATTTTTTGTTTGTTATTATTTAATAATTTTAAGAAGAGAAAATGCCGCAGATAGAGCAAGAATTTCAAAATTAAATCAACGATGAGCGCTAGGAGGCCTAATTAAATAAGTTGCATGTTTAATTCAACGGCACCCTGTGAAGTGAACCTTCCTTTGAGCGAAATTGATGGAGAAATCTTTATTCTAATATATTTTTTAAATCTGATATATTTAAAAACCTGCTAACTAACCAAAAAAAAGGCCAAAAGATAGTATTCAAATAATTTTAAACGAAATTCAAATCATGGTTTTGGTCGAATAAAACTATCTTACCCACTAACGACTACATGAGAGGCTGCAATGGTGATAATAAAAACTAATCGTTGTGGGGTGGCTTGAACTCCTCTATCAGCCAAATGTAGAACCATCAAGGTACAAACAACCTAATTATTTATTATTTTTAAAAACACATCAATAAGAATAGAAAAATCCGCAAAAAATTTGAGAATGATTAAAACTGGGCACTTTCAGATTAACAGCTAAAAGCTGTTTGATCAGCAATAAAAATAAAAGAGCAGAAAAATAACTTTTAAAGTTGAAAGACAAAAAGTTTAAAGTTTTAGCAAAAAAACATTTGGGAGTAGGGACTTAATGAGTAACAAAAATTTGAGGAAAATTTTGAGCTGGATCTATCTAGATTATTCTTGTATCTACTCCTAGTAAGTGATGTTTTTCGTATGGATCTTGTACAAAAAAATTTTACAAAACTTCCAAGACTTTAAAACTGTTATGTCCTAGAAAGAAAAAAATGAAAAACTATCCCAAAAACGAGCGTTAAAACACATTTTTGGATCGCTTTTTGTTCGTTTTTGCCTACATCTTCTGTAAGATTCACAATTTGACATAGTGTAAGAAAAAGAAATGCTTAGAGTAAATTTTTTAAAAAACATTTGCTTTACTTACATTTACGATATTTGAACTCTAAAAAATAAAATATAGGGAAAAATGACTACATAACGAATAAACTGAAGGCACATCACTACTCCATGTACTAACCTCTGTTATGGTAAAGACTGATTGATGAAGCAGCTGTGAATAAAAATCATCGTTAAAATAATTAAATATGCACCACCAGCCGTAGTAGTGGGGGTACACTGAGGATAGGAATAGAAATACCATCCGTCGTCTTAACTTTAATATTCATCAGTTAAATAAAGATATTCAAAAATGGGCGGATAAGTTTCGAAGTGATTCTTAATTCGGATGAGTTGAGAATACGGGGGTGTATATTTTCTCAAAAAATCCCCCCTCCCTTAAGACAAATTTTTTTTTTTTGCCAAAGTTATGGATGTCTTAATGTATTTTTTTTACTCGCTTAATTGGGGAAAATAAATAAAATTTTGGGTAAAAACTATTAGCAATGATCAAAAAAATTACACTTTGATGTCCACTTTCCCCAAAATCAAGGTTGGGGGTTAATTCTTGGAAATATACTTCTAAGCCCATCTAAACAGTCTAAAAAATTTTAGTAACAGTGATGAATAATTTCCTTCCTGTTCTCTAATCATAAGAGTTAGAATATATTTAATACTCTCATACACAGCTATCACGTAGATCAGGGTAAACGTCCAGATTATCCAGGTTTGTAATGTAGCGTTGAAATATATATGTTTATAGGTGCCAGCACCAGTCTCATAACCAGCCTAGTACAATAAATAAATATGTTTAAAGGTTTCAGCACCAGTCTCATAACTAGACTAGTACAATATATATGTTTATAGGTGTCAGCACCATTCTCATAACTAGACAAGTACAATATTATGTTTAAAGGTGTCAGCACCAGTCTCATAATCAGCCTAGTACAATATATATGTTTTTAGGTGTCAGCACCAGTCTCATAACTAACCTAGTACAATATATGTTTATAGGTGCCAGCAACAGTCTCATAACCAGCCTAGTACAATAAATATGTTTAAATGTGTCAGCACCAGTCTCATAACTAGACTAGTACAATATATATGTTTATAGGTGTCAGCACCAGTCTCATAACCAGACTAGTACAATATATATGTTTATAGGTGCCAGCACCAGTCTCACAACCATCCTAGCACAATAAATATGTTTTTAAGTGTCATCACCAGTCTCATAACCAGCCTAGTACAATATATATATGTTTATAGGTGTCAGCAACAGTCTAATAACCAGACTAGTACAATATATATGTTTATAGATGCCAGCGCCAGACTCATAACCAGCCTGGTACAATAAATATGTTTATAGGTGTCAGCACCAGTCTCATAACTGGATAGTACAATATATATGTTTATAGATTCCAGCGCTAGACTCATAACCAGCCTAGTACAATAAATATGTTTATAGGTGTCAACACCAGTCTCATAACCAGACTAGTACAATATATACGTTTATAGGTGTCAGTGTGTCATATCCAGACTAGAACAAAAGCATACTTTAGCTTACCTAGAATACAGTGTCCCAACATAAATTACTACAATGATCCTTATGTACAGGCATACTTTAGCTTACCTTAAATACAGTGTCCCAACATGAATTACTACAATGGTCCTTATGTGACAGGCATACTTTAGCTTACCTTGAATACAGTGTCCCAACATGAATTACTACAATGGTCCTTATGTACAGGGATACTTAAGCTTACCTTGAATACAGTGTCCCAACATGAATTACTACAATGGTCCTTATGTACAGGGATACTTAAGCTTACCTTGAATTGTCCCAACATGAATTACTACAATGGTCCTTATGTACAGGCATACTTTAGTTTACCTTGAATTGTCCCAACATGAATTACTACAATGGTCCTTATGTAACAGGCATACTTTAGCTTACCTTAAATACAGTGTCCCAACATAAATTACTACAATGGTCCTTATGTACAGGGATACTTTAGCTTACCTTAAATACAGTGTCCCAACATGAATTACTACAATGGTCCTTATGTACAGGCATACTTTAGCTTACCTTAAATACAGTGTCCCAACATGAATTACTACAATGGTCCTTATGTACAGGCATAGCATACTTCTCCCACAGTTTGTACACAAACCCAAACTTAATGAGAATAAAAAAGTTAACAAAAAAGAATTGAAAAAATCTGTCATTTATCAAAATCTGTATACCAAACAATATCTATCAATCTTTGATTCACTTTATACCCATATATGTAAATATAAAGAATATTTGAAAACTTTTTTTTTTACATTTCATGATTTGAATTGGCCTTTTTTCATCTTCCGAATTTTCTCAGTTTTACAAGCGTATTTTTTAATTTATTTTTCATAGATTTTGATGATTATATTCTTGTTTTTTTGGATTGATTATACATTCCAAAAAATTTCTTTACTCTAAATATATTCAGGATACAATCCATCCTTCAATTATTGCGTGTCTCACACTTTATTTTAACCAATATATATTATATATATATATTGGTTAATTTAGAACTGCACAATATGAATCCAACCTCGTTACTAAATAACAAATGAGCCGAGTACAGCATTTAAATGACACGGGATGAAATTCTTATCAGGAGATTGCTAGTTTAAAATACCTGAATGAGCGGGATGAATACTGGGATGAATAATCCTAGTCCAACCAGGAAAAGAGATCTACCAGGGACAAAGAGACCCGCTCTATTCTCATCCTTAATCTGAACCATCTGAAACTAAGTCTGGATAAACCCAAATGCAACCCTGTATCGGAAATGAAATCAGAAAGAATATCATGGATAGTTCCTTAGAATTAACAAAATCATCATAACAAGGAAATTCAAGTAATCTAACAATAAGACACATATAATAAAGCGTGTGTCAGGGGGTTGGAATAGGGCTGACTAAGATAAAAATATTGTAATATTTTAAACTTTAGCTAAAATCTAAAGTTTAACTTGATCGCATATTATTTAACCATTATAAAAACCCACTGAACGCACCATTTAATGCATTGCAATTGTAAAATATACTTGGAATTATCAAAATTTAATTTTTCATTCAAAACAAGTCGGTTTATCAAACATAAGCTAAATAAAATCTAGAAAGATGATGTTCCAAAATAGCTAGAAAGAGATCAGAAGATTTTCCGAATAAATTCTCCTAAACCCATTCACGTTTGATTTAGCACATCTTTTAACCAATATTAGTCTCCATGTAAGAGACTATTATTGAGAGATCAACAATAGAAAAGTGAAAGGGCAAAATATCACTGATTTGGAGAGGCGTCGGAAGTATTAAGTGCTCATAGAGACTTTTTATTTGTTAAAAAAGGAAGACATCTTGGCGCTATGGGAAACACGATGTCCTAATCTTCTTTTTCAGCGGCGTGCAGAGAGGTCGGGGCGGTGGCGCGGTGAGCCGCAGCCTTTGCAGTTTCCTTTGCTTGGTTCCAACCCTGGGAGGATTTCTCTTTCAGAACCTCAGCTTTTTCTCTAGAAAATAAATTAATTTTAATAAAACATTGGTCCATGATCTCAAAATGTTAAACTATCAATACAAAAAACTTACTGCAACTGATTGATTTTACATCGTTGGTTTGATTCATAAAAATTCAAAAAGGTTAGACAATTCCACTGAGTACAATTGGAAATTAGAAATTTCTTTTTGAATGAAGCCTTTTAAAATTTTCCAAACCTTAACATTTAAAACAAACATTGACAATATTGACTAAAACTTTGATTGAACTAGTACTTTGTCAGTCAACACAACGATATAAGTATATCCATAGTGTTCTATTTAAAATCTAAGAATTTAAGTTACAATCAGGGACACAATGCGCTTGAAGGACCTCTAAGAGAAAATAAAATCCCATGTAACTTTTTATGAGTTTCTGAAAGAGCCCATCAAAACGAATATTTTGAGATATGTCAGCACTTTTTCCTGCAATTCGCATATTTGCAAAGTAATGTTTTATTGAAATATTTCAGCTCTTTATATAGAAACTTATTTTGAACATTTTGGAAAAATACCCGTATTTAGATGTAAAATGTACTTTAAGATACTCTGTTTTATCTAAGGATATAATTATTATATTTGATTTTTTACTTTTGACCTCTAATACTGACTCACAAGCCTTAATGCTGCAATTGAATTTATGTACTGCAGATTTACAGTGTTTTCCTCCCAGGGCTTAAAGTCCAAGAGCTTTTGTTTACTCTTTGCTCCAAACCTTTCTCTATCCTTTATTCTAATCCCCATACTCCAGACCTTTCCCCTTGCCTGGTAATCTAGACCTTTCCTTATCCTTTGTTCTAATCCTTTGTATACACCATACTCCTGTCCCCTTATCATTTACTTTAGACCTTTCCCCTTATAATTTACTCTTGAACTTTCCCCTTATAATTTACTCTTGACCTTTCCCATCATCAATTACTCTAGACCTTTCCCGAATCATTCACTCCAAACCTTTCCCCTTATTTTTACTAAAGACCTTTCCCCTTATCATTTACTCTACACCTTTCCCCTTATCATTTACACTTGACCTTTCCCCCTATTTTTTTTTACTGTAGACCTTTCCCGAATCATTTACTCTAGACCTTTCACCTTATTTTTTACTATAGAAATTTTCCCTTATCATATTACTGTAGACCTTTCCCCTTATCATTTACTATAGACCTTTCCCCTTATCATTTCCTCTAGATCATTCCCCTTATCATTTACTGTAGACCTTTTCCCTTATCATTTACTCTTGACCTTTCCCGTTCTCATTTACTCTAGACCTTTCCCCTTATTTTTTTTACTATAGACCTTTCCCGTATCATTTACTCTAGACCTTTCACCTTATTTTTTACTATTGAAATTTTCCCTTATCATATTACTGTAGACCTTTCCCCTTATCATTTACTATAGAACTTTCCCCTTATCATTTCCTCTAGATCATTCCCCTTATCATTTACTGTAGACCTTTCCCCTTCTCATTTACTCTAGACCTTTCCCCTAATCTTTTTACTATAGACCTTTCCCGTATCATTTACTCTAGACCTTTCACCTTATTTTTTTACTATAGAAATTTTACCTTATCATATTACTGTAGATCTTTCCCCTCATCATTTACTATAGAACTTTCCCCCTTATGAATTCCTCTAGATCATTCCCCTTATCATTTACTGTAGACCTTTCCCCTTATCATTTACTCTAGACCTTTCCCCTTATCATTTACTCTAGACCTTTCCCTCTATCATATACTATAAAACTTTCCCCTTATCATTTACTCTAGCTCTTTCCCCCTATCATTTACTATAGAACTTTCCCCTTATCATTTACTCTAGACCTTTTCCCCTTATCCTTTACTATAGACCTTTTTCCTTATCGTTTACTCTAAATCTTTCAATACCCTTTACTCTAGACCTTTCCCCTAATCCTTTACTCTAGTCCTTTCCATACCCTTTACTTTGGACCTTTCCCTTTATTCTTTACTCTAGTCCTTTCATAAGACTAAACCTTTATCTCACCTTTACTATAAACCCTAAAGGATACGAATGGGTTAAGATTAAAAAAAAGGATAGGTCAAGAGTAAAAGACATGGAACTGTTTAGAGTAAAGGATTAATGAGGTTCGGTTTACGAGTGAAGGATAATGAAAGTTCAGCATTAGAGGTTCAAGAAAGCATTAAAAGTAAATGATATGGAAGGGTTTGGAGGAAAGTATAAGTAAAGGTTAAAATTAGAGAATTAGGAAGAGTTTAGAGTGAAGGATGATAAAGGATTCAGAGAATATTATAAGGAAAATTTACAGTTAAGAATAAGGAAAGTTTTAAAGAAAGGGATTGTGAAGTTATAATTCCTCTTGGTTATTATCCCGTTCTCAAAATTCTTCATTATCTTCTTTTCCAATACCTTTCTTTCCTTACAATAAACGTTCCCTATCCTTGACCTAAACCCTTTCTCATCCTTTACTCTCAACCTATTTGTATACTTCACTATAAACCTTTCTTTAACCTTTACTCTAAATCTTTCCTTTCTTTACTCTAGAGCCTCATATTTCTTATACTTGTAATCTTTACCTTATCCTTTACTCAAAATATTTCCTTATCCGTTAGGTTAGGTTAGGTTAGGTTAGGTTAGGTTAGGTTAGGTTTCCTCTCTAAGCTGTTACTTATTCTATACTTAAACACTTACATTTATTTCACTCTTCAATTTTCATTTCCTTCACTCTGAACCATTCTTTTTTACTTTACTTCCTTATGGTTTACTCTTTGCCCTTTCCATATACATAAATATTAGATTTTCCTCATCCTTTACATTCTGTTTCATCATTTACTGGCACTCATTTCTTTACCCTTAAAATCCTATTTCACCCTTTTACAACAAAACTTAACCCATAAAGCATAAGAACTAGAAAAATTAGCAGCAAAAAAAGTTTAAGGGTAGGAGAAAATAAAAGGCAAATGTTCAGAGTAAAGGACAAGGGGAAAGGTCTACAGTAAAGGGCATGGAAAGGTTCAAGATAGAGGAAAAGGGGAAAGGTCAAAATAATAGGTATAACAAGGTTCAGGATAAAGAATTTAGGGAAATGTTTAAGATATAAGGGAATAGGAAGGTTCAGGGTTCATTTATTTTTTCCTAACCTGTACTGTGTCTTCAGTTGATCCTTGATATGCTGAAGTTCACCCATCTTCTCCTGTTTAATCCTCTGTAAGTTCATTTGCTGCTCTTGGATACCAGACAGTACATGGTTAAACCCTTCAGTAGCCTACATTATACAATACATGGTTAAACCCTTCAGTAGCCTACAATATACATGGCATGAATCTCTATTAGTTTACATTATACAGTATATGGCGAAAACCTTAAAAAGTCTACAATTATAGAAAAAAAATACTTTAAAAATCAATAAATTTTTTTAATTGCATACCTTGATGGAGTTTAACTTGAAGCGATCTATTCCAAAATTCTTGATTGCAGTTCTTAGACCGTAAAATCTAGATTCAACCCAAGCTTCCTTCACAGCTATTGTTTGGTTTGGATTTAAAGGACACTCCTAGACAAAAATATGATTAAAGAAACTTGTAGTGTATTATCAAGTGACCATCTATGCAAGGATGACAATGCCCGATTCAAAAATGTACCCTTGAACCATTTATTTAATTAATAATGTGGAAGACGTTATTGTTTTTCTAGGTTTAAAGTATTTACTGTGCAAATAACTTTGTTACTTTAGTAACTACAATAATTAGTTTTCAAAATTATAAATATCATTATCATACCATACCAGACAAAGCTTTCAAGGCTATTATTATTATTATTACCAATGAACCTACAGCCAAAGAATCATGTCCTAACGGCAATGATACGTTGATCTCCAGGGTGGAGCTCCAGCCATTTACCCTTGTCCGCTTGGGTTTCATGGATCATATCAGGCTATGGTAGTGAATTGGGCATTGTCATGTTTGTATGGAGAGTCAATTGAAATAACAATTACCGACCCTGTAACAATTATTGAAATTAAAATAATTTTCAAAATCCATGAACAAGCCTGTGAGGCTGTGACAGTTTAAACTAAAAACATTGTATGTTTCTAGTCTTCTTTATGTATCTTGATTCAGTCAATCAATCTATAAATCAATCGATCAATCAGGGTTTTAGGGTTGTCCTACTATCCACATATCAAACTTGAGATGATCTTGCTAAGTCAAGAAAGAGATATGGACCTACAGCTTGTACTAGGTGTTTAAGGTTTAACGATTTAATAACTTTTTATTGTTTCAGTAATATTTTGTTAAAATTACTCAGGGTGCATTTCTAGAAATAAATCAGTGACAAGTTAAAAATACAAAGCTAAATTTCAGAGTAAAAAGATGAAAACACACATTCCAATGTTTTCTTGATGAAAGTTCTGAACATTTCTTTCAGTAACAGATCAAAAATTATAATGTTTTTTTTGTCACTTCAATAAAAAAATTGTTATTCAATTTCAATGTTAAACTTAGGATCATTTTCATTTCTATTTATCTATATCAATTAGCTGCCCCACCAAATAAAAACAGAGACTCATTCATCCTATGCCCCTTAAAGGGAATGTTCACAAAAATTGAAAGGGGGTATATATTTACGGCAAAAAATAAGCGAATTTGATCGCTACTAATCTTACTTCTATCTGTTGTGTCTATAAGGAGAAAGTTGTTAAAAACGACTCTTACCACAGAACATAGCATACATACAAATTCAGAAAGTTGCAATGTATGGCTTTTATCCTAAATTAACAATTTAAATTCAAACAAATTGTTGTGCGAGTGTTTTAATATCTTACTTGGACCTCGCCAACCATCTTTCTCCCTTCCCCTAAAATCAACACTAGGGTCTTCTCTCTTTATTCTTGATCCCAATATAGAGATGCCAATTTTCTTTGGTCATAAACTTTAATTCAAAGTTTGAATATAATAGAGTTACATATAATATATGGCAAGACTATATTTCTGAGAATTCTGACAAGTGTAAAAAATATTCAGTTAATATAATTTCAAAGAAATTCAAGTAAAAACTCAAATGATAATACCAATAGTTTCTTGATAGGCTTTATCAAATATGCACAGTGGAGAAAAAAAAAATTTGACTTATTTTTTCCCTCATAAAGTTTAAATCTGAACAACCGTTTTTCAATTCTTCAATAGTAAGCAATACTTGAACTAGAATTCACACAGCATTTCAAGATAACTAGTATTCAAAGGAATTCAAGCTGTATAGTATTAACAGGAATTCAAGATAGATTAGACTAGTATTTACAAGAATTCAAGATAGATTAAACTAGTTCAAGAGTTGTAATTTATTTACTTGTTGTTTAATTGAATTAATTTCTTACTTTATTAATAATTTTTCTTTCATTTAAATATTTTTTATCAGGAATCTTTTTATTACTTGTTAATTTAATTGATTCTATTTCTTACTTTATTGTAAAAATTTAATTTAATTTTCATTGGATCTTTAACTAGTGACCCTCTACTTTTTTCATTGACTTTTTAATTACCATCAATTAATTTCTTTCTTTTTTAGTGATGCCGCCGAGATGCACGCTCATCAGAAGCTCAGCTTTCGCCAATCCTTGTGACCTTTCCCCTGATGAGCTTAGCCTCCTTTTGGTTGAAACTACAGACAATTTTGGAACCAACCTTCTATCCAGGACTAACTGGAATGGAGGAGCTCTTGGCTGCCCTCTGCCACCCTTACTGGTGACAACTGCAGAGTAGATTCCGCCACCTTTCACCTACTAGGGAAACTATGGGCCAACAAGAACATTAACGCCACCAGCCTCTGGCCTACACAGGCAGCTACTACTTTATCCCTCACAATCGAGGATCTAACTATTTTCACTTTCCCGGATAATTCTATGGTCTCCAATTACATCAGCTCTGCCGACCTGCTGTTCTTCTTCTCTCAAGCAGGAGAAGTACAAAAAGACGAAGATTTTTCTCTTGCCGGAGTATTGGAATTTTGCCTCAGAGCTTACCCTTACCCTACAACTGATGCCTTTGCTAAAGTGGTTCTACTGCTCTTCCTGTGCGACTAAGCAGAGCTGTCTGCCAACCCTCTCTACTTAGATCCAAGGTTTCCCGGTATTCGCCTCAAAGAAGTTGAAATCCCCCTGGCTCCCCCTCCTATGCTCTCACCTGTGGAGAAGACCTGGGGTTTTCCTCTCATCTGCGCCATCTTCCCTGGTTCGGACTGGGAAGACGTCCCTGGCTGCGTCATAGGTGATGGTCTGCGCTTTGCTCTCCCTGAGCTTCTTCGCTCTGCCAGCCTTCCAGACGGAAAAGCTAACTATGACAGCTACCTCTCAAGACTAAATGAACTCGCAGAAAATGAAGATTCTCTCTGATCAAAGGCCCCAACTCTTTTCTGGCCTCCAGCTGTGGCTGCTCTGGTGCAAGCAAGCCCTACTTTAGGTTGGTCTTTTTTCTTCACTTTCCTTTAATTACTTCATTTTTAATATTGAGCTGAACTACTCTAGCTTTTATTTCTACTTGTTTACAAACAGTGTTTATGGATTTCTTTTTTGTTTACTATTCTAATTTGCGTTAATTTTTAATTCTATTTGATATTAATATCTTTAACTTATTATATGTTAGTTATTCCTCTTATTGCTTAAAATCATTAAGATAGTCATAACAAGACATCCAAAATGTATCAAATTTAACATGGAATCCAGATTGATATTCAGGAAATTTTTAAATATTAAAATTTTCCTGGACAAACTAAATCTATAACAACTGTATTAAGAAAAGCAAGTTCTAAATATGATATAATTCCCTTCAACTCAAATATTAGTGGAAAATATAAAATTATTTAAGTTAATATACAACATTCTTGGTTTCGTAATGTTCACTAAAATTTGTTTAATCTGTACGTCAAATTTAGTGGTCTCTTTCTACATCAATTTTTAAAAAGGGTTATCCTTTTTTCCAATTTTGACATAACTAAATAACAGACTTAAGTGGATTTGAAAAACACTAGTTATATTCACTATTTCATACTTAATTTTGAATTACGAATCCAATGTGTTCCCACTTAAAACTTTTAAATGCAAAATAACCTATTTAGTGGTTTTAATCAACATTTACAATGTATACCAGTCACCATTTACAAATTTCACTGTTTTCTCACTTAAGTTTTATTGTTTTAAAGGTTTAAATGAAGACATTTCGAAAAATGCTTCTCCGCAGAATTTCTTCTGGAATTTTTTGTAGCTTAAGACTTCCACTTCCTGTACATCCTTGAAATCATCTTGTTCAGGGAAGCACTCACGATCAACATAATTTCATCATCCTTTGACATCAATTTTCCATCAATTAGGTGCTGATTAGCACCCTTATCATAGAAGGCAAGAACATCTCTACCCCTTAAATTGATANTTTAATTAGTCATAAGTTCTCTCAGAACTGAGCTCAATCACTGTTATATGCCGATCTATCTGATCTGCTGTCTCCAACATATTAGTCCCCTTCAGTAGTGTTCTGCTTTGAGTACGAGGATGATGATTCTGATGGAATCAAGTCTAGTTTTCCAAACTCAAAGATTTTCCATTGACCTGGGTCCAGTACCTTCTTCCAACTTTCTTTCTTTCTTGGCAGCTGGTTTAAAATTTCTGAAAAAAATTCCAATTCTTCAGATTCAGAACCTTCCTCTGTAATGTACTTCCAGGATTTTTTAATTCTGTCGAATTAGCAGTATTTGCTAGATAGATTTACAGCTTATTTGTTTGTGCTTTAGGACCGCAGAGAATAGTTCTCTCTAACAGAGTAGTCGTCCCAAGAAAGATAGTATTCATCTTCTATTATATTAGATTTGATCTCCTGTACTACTTTCTGTGGACCAAACATGCATATTTGAACCAGTTCTCCTCTTTTCATTGTCATTATTCTGCTTGGCTTCTATTTTGTTTATTATCTGTCTGAACACTGGTCCTTTGGTGTTTTTACCCAGCTCTGCCACGCTCATTGGTTTAAATTTCTGAGTACTTCTTTGAGCTGCGCTATTTGTAAATGGCTAGACTAGCTTTTTTTTGTAACTGCAGCCCTCCCGGTCTGAGTGTATTTTGGAACATGTGAAGAAAGATGATGGACTTTCATTTCCAATAGCATCTGAACGATTGTCATCCTTCTGAACTTTCAAGTGGAGTCTTGAATAACTTCCTAATCCCAGGGGGTAAATTTTCCCTGTTTCTCTTCCTACTACTTGTTTTGGTGGGTAAATTCGAGTTTGAATCAACTGGAATTTCAGGTGTTATCAACTTTGCTTCATCTATAGCAATTAAAGGTTTAGACTTCTTTCCTTTTCCCAGTCCTTTTCCATTTCTATCTGGTTTCCCTGTACTTGCAAAGGTTTCTTTTCTTTAATTTTCAACCGTCTCATGGTTTTGTGATTTTTTCTCCTTTGTTCTTTGAGATTCTTTCTTGTGTTCAGTAAACAACATTGTAGCAAGCTCCAAGCTTAAACTGTCTCTCTGTTTTCCCGTTCTACTTCATCTGAATCAAGATCATCTTCCAC